ACACCCCACATTGAGCCGTTCATTATTTCCAACTACTATTTTTTGGATCTCGGTTCGCGTAATTTGAATAGGTTACTTGCATTCCCTGTCATGTGAGCAAATACAGCGGAATCAATGAACCATTCGTTCGAGCTTTCTGCTTTCGCTACCAAAGATGTCGACACCAACAATAGACTATTGGTAGTTTTTCTCGATTTTGATGGACACTTATTTCCGTAATGTCCTTTTTCATTACATTCAAAGCAAATTATAGATGCTTTTTTCTTAAATTTAGATACACGTTTTTTCGTATTACTTTTTGATACTAGTGCCATTGTGTTATCGCTTGAAAAGTCATACCTTCCTTCCTGAAGCAAGTTTGTTCGCACCAAATCTGTGCTAAGCTCTTTGCCACTATTGGCAAGTGCCATTACCATGGGTCGATATTCATCTGGTAAACCACTTAGCATAATTTGTGCGACGATGTCGTCAGGAATTTTAGTGCCAGATTTGTCTAGTTTTTGTTGGGTGCATGCCATTTTATTAACGTAGTCTTCCATGGATGTACAATCAGTGAGCTCTAGTCGCATCAAATATTTTAACAAGTCCATACGACGTAGAACACCATTGTCCTTAAACGCAGTTTCAAGGGCATCCCACGCGGCTTTTGCTGTTGTGCAGTTTTGTACATACGAATAATTCGATGGCTCAACAAGCAGTCCAAGTGCCGAAATCGCATGCAAATTTTTCATCTGATCTGTCTCTATTCCCTCGATGCATGGCCAGCACCCCTTCAGAACAAGGTGCGACTTCCCTGAAAACTTCCATGTGCCGTAGTATTCTCTGCCTTTCAGCTTCTCAATCTTTTCGTTTCCCATTATAGTTAAAGGTATGTGATTTTTACTCCAAAATCACTATTGCAGACAAGCAATAAATTGTAATACTTTAATACAATATAAAATTTACCCGAAAACACACGTGAGGATGGGCCTGTTATAAATATTCGGTGAAAAGAAAAACGTGTCTTCCTGCTTGCAGAGAATCAGATAAGCTGATGCCACATAAAACTTTTGCTTCGCTTTACGTGACAGATTCGCTTTGACAGGTAAGATGAATTGTATGAAAATGCACAAAGCATGCCACATAAATCGTTGAAGCTGCAGCGCGAAGCGAAAAGATGGCCAACTCCCATCTTTTTGCGCGCTTTGACAATCAGCCGGTTTAATATTTATTTTGTTTCGTCCAAATTCGGGCTTTCATGCAGAAACATAAAACAAAGAAACATNTGTCGTCAGGAATTTTAGTGCCAGATTTGTCTAGTTTTTGTTGGGTGCATGACATTTTATTAACGTAGTCTTCCATGGATGTACAATCAGTGAGCTCTAGTCGCATCAAATATTTTAACAAGTCCATACGACGTAGAACACCATTGTCCTTAAACGCAGTTTCAAGGGCATCCCACGCGGCTTTTGCTGTTGTGCAGTTTTGTACATACGAATAATTCGATGGCTCAACAAGCAGTCCAAGTGCCGAAATCGCATGCAAATTTTTCATCTGATCTGTCTCTATTCCCTCGATGCATGGCCAGCACCCCTTCAGAACAAGGTGCGACTTCCCTGAAAACTTCCATGTGCCGTAGTATTCTCTGCCTTTCAGCTTCTCAATCTTTTCGTTTCCCATTATAGTTAAAGGTATGTGATTTTTACTCCAAAATCACTATTGCAGACAAGCAATAAATTGTAATACTTTAATACAATATAAAATTTACCCGAAAACACACGTGAGGATGGGCCTGTTATAAATATTCGGTGAAAAGAAAAACGTGTCTTCCTGCTTGCAGAGAATCAGATAAGCTGATGCCACATAAAACTTTTGCTTCGCTTTACGTGACAGATTCGCTTTGACAGGTAAGATGAATTGTATGAAAATGCACAAAGCATGCCACATAAATCGTTGAAGCTGCAGCGCGAAGCGAAAAGATGGCCAACTCCCATCTTTTTGCGCGCTTTGACAATCAGCCGGTTTAATATTTATTTTGTTTCGTCCAAATTCGGGTTTTCATGCAGAAACATAAAACTTAATTACATTGCTGATAATTTTAAATCAAAATAATTAAAATCCACAGCAACTTTGATGAGTAAAAAAGCGGTACAACATTGTTTTCTTGGCGTTCATTGTGGCATACCTTTTGCGTCTGGCGCTTTGCTGGCAAAGTTATAAATGTCACGCAAAGCTACAAAGTTTTATCTGGCATCAGCTATAGAGAGCATTTATTTCAAGCTTATAAAAGAATGTACATTTTGTATGACAAGTGATAAATACTATTTGACATACATTGACAGCTCTCATAGTTTAGTGATCTATTACATTTTACAACACTTTTATTTGGAAGCAATTAAAAAATTGGGAAAAACCCTGGATTAAATGTATCGAGCTAAAAGGAGACTGTGTTGACAAATAAAAGCTTTTTGACGAAAACTATATCCTTTTTTCAAAAAGTCACTGACTTTCAAATGGCCCCCGTAACAAGAAAAACCACAGTCTTTGAACATGTAAGTATTAAATTTTAAAGTTATATTTGTTATATTTTTTGAGTTAAGAGCGAAATAAACCACTCAAGCGGCTTGATAAACCAAGCAAAATTTCCCTTTGCTTCAAGCAAATTCTGTTGGGTATGGGCAAGGCATAACAAGGTAGAAGTGATTTCGACATTTCTCTCCTTTGAACTGCGACTGAAATGTCAACTCTTAACCCTATAAAGAATGTACACGAAAAAAACTGGTCGCACATAACCAAGCATAGCTCGGTTAATCATAACATTAAAATAAAAATCGGTAGACACTTAAAAAGCTGGAAGCATTTTCCACCTTACTGCATCATTTCTTTTTAGCAACAAAAATCAGTGTAGAAACGAGGACCAAGAAAGAAATCGATCGCGAGTTAATATTGCGCAAAAAGCTGGAAAATCCCAGCATGTTCCATAACGACATCGCAAAAAAGCTAAAATTTCCAAAGTTTACTGTTATTTATGTGCTTAAAAAATACAATGAATGTTTATCTTTAAAAAGGAACCCTGGTAGTGGCAGAAAAAAAGGATTTGCTTGCGAAATTAAGGCAAAGGAAGTGTTATCTGCTTTTAAGAAAAATCCTGGACTTTCGGTAAGAGATGTCGGCAAAAAATTAAACATGTCGTCTTCGTATATACAAAAAGTATGCAAAACAGCAGGACTACGTTCTTACAAAGTGAATGCAGCACCTAATCGCAACGGTAAGCAAAATTTGTTGGCGAAACAACGTGCTCGGAAATTGTACGACAGTCTCATACAAAAATTTGGCTGTATTGTTATGGATGACGAATCGTACGTAAAAGCCGATTTTAAACAAATCCGGGGCCGCGAATTTCACACTGCAAATAAAAGAGGCAATGTTGCAGATAAATATAAAAACAAAAAGTTTGACAAATTTCCCAAAAAGTTTCTCATTTGGCAGGCAATTTGCCAATGCGGCTTCAAAAGTGATCCTTTTGTAAGCACTGGTACAATTAACCAAGAAATTTATGTTAAGGAGTGTCTGCAAAAGCGAATTTTACCTCTTATACGGCTTCATAAAGATCCAGTGCTTTTTTGGCCTGATCTCGCGATATGTCATTACGGAAAAATGGCTTTAGGATGGTAACATAGAAACAAAGTGTATTTTGTAGCAAAAGAGGTGAATCCACCTAATTGTCCAGAGCATCGGCCGATCGAAACCTACTGGGCCGTTATGAAATCCAAACTTCTTAAGACCCACAAAGCTGTAAAAAACGCACAACAATTCAAAAATAAATGGCAGCTGGTTTCCAAGGAAATCACTGAAACTTCTGTGCAAGGGCTAATGAAGGACATAAAGTCAAAATTGCGATCGTTTGCTTATTACAAGGAGAATTAACTCTTTTTTAACGAATTTCAATAAAACTAAGTTTAGATGTAAATATATGTAAATATCGTTGAATTCCATTAATATATTTATGTTTTAGAACGTTTTAACTGTGACCAGTTTTTTTCGTGTACATTCTTTAGTATTAAATTTTATTTTTTTTTAATATAAATTTTCAATTGTGAGCTGTGCGACTGATTTTAAATACATAATAAAATGAAAAGGAATTGCGAGCGGTGCGTTGTGTTAGTCAAGAGCCTGGACAACAAACTTGTGCGTTATTTTAAACATTCGAATTGTCAAGTGAAGCGGCAACGGTGGGCAAATTGCTGCGATGTTTCATTAGGAGACTCTTCACGTGTGGTCGTGACTTTATTTGTTGCCCATCGCAGCCGAGTATTTCTAAGTGGACGCGTTTGGTCCCAGGTGCAGGATTTATCATACCGAATATGAAAAGAAAATCTCCCTTTCATATACATACATGGATAGGCCAAATTCCAAATGGTGGTCTGATAAAACCTAAACCAGTATTCCTTGTTGACATAAAGAAACTGAAAGTAATTTTTAATAAATTTAATGGAAAGGAAATTTCGAATAGCAAAAATTTAATAGCTAAATTATTGAAGTTAAGTTCTGATGTAAATTTAGAAGAATCAAACTTTTTTTAATGACTAATATACTTTAGAATTAAGTATTTCAATAAAAAAATAAATGCTCAAAAACATTGGGATAGTAAAAGCAAGAAAATTGTCAGAACGGTTTTATAAATGAGTGGGTTTCATTTAGTGGGTAATTTTGTGTAAGTATGCATTCCCATATTTACATTAAACCGAAAATTCAATAAATAAAATGAAGCTGATTCTAATGAGATTTTAAATATTTTCATATTTACAAAAACTTTCATTTCAAAGATGTTGAGTTCTAGCAAATATGGTAAATGCATAACAAAGGGTTAATTTCTTTGTTTACATTTTTTGACATTACAGTCAGGTATGAGAGAGCTCGACTGAATTTTCACTTCTACCTTGTTGAATATGCCTTGGTATGGGTGTGCTTGGAGATTTAACAAACCGCTTGAGGGAAATTCGAAAAAAAAACAATTCTAGATTGTGTTACGTTGTGTATGGCGAAATCGCCTCATTCGTAACGAAATTTTCACCGAGTGAGAATGTAGGAGAGAAAAATAGAGGACTAAACCTTTTTAAAATTGTGGTTTATTTTGTTCATTATCTACATTTTTTTGTATAATACGAAACACCCAACTAAATCCTTCAAAGATTTTTTTCCATGTTTTTTATTTTTTGTGTGTTTGACGTTCTTCTAGCAAACGAGCGTAATGTACGTATGCGTATAAATAATTTTGATAACAATTCCTTTTAAAAGCTTGCTGAAATTAGTGTGTTATATATACAGTGGCGAAAATATAAATAGGGAAGAGCCATTTTAGCATTATTTGGCTATGTCCCTTTCCTTTACACCGGTACACAAAAAAAGTGGTGTGTGCTTTAAACCAGACCCACCTATCGACATGTTTTTCGACCCGCTGAAGCCGAATCTGAGGTCCGTTTGACTCATACACTCTCTAAATTTCGATTTTCGGGTTTTCGCATTTTATTCTGAATTTTATGGGTGTACGAGTCAAACGGACCTCAAAGTAAGTCAAAATTTCAAACTTTGTACAAAAATTAGCGAAATTCGACAAACTTTCATGAAAATATTGAGCTTTTTAATTCGATTTCTTAGAAACATTCTGAGTATGCAGTTTTGTAGCACATTCATTTGTGCAAATTCGAAGTAGCTCCGACTTACCGTTGATTTTTGGAAATTTTTTTCGAGAGAATGTTGCTCATTTTCTCCATATAAAAAAATTGTCGAACATCTTTGTATGGAAAAAAATGCGCGAACAAAAAATTGCCCAAAATGAACGGTAAGTCCTAGCTACTTCAAACTTGCTCCTTATTATACTAAAATTAAAGGTTTAAAATGTTGATCATTTGTTAAAATTCGTGGAATTTTTATAAATGTTCTACAAAGTTTGAAATTTTGATTTAGATGGTCTTTTTATATGTAAACTATATTTTCATAAAAAAAAATAATGAAAATTTTTTAAACAAAGAAAAGTAGCCAAAACTTGCTAAAATGTCTTTTCCCTATTTACATTCTCGCCACCGTATAACTTCGAGTCACGATCTTTACGTGCGATACATATGTACATACATATGTATGTATGTAGGTTCCTAGATGAAAGTATCAGCAAAAATTATTATAAACCAGTGATATAAGGTTTTTAGTTATAAGTATATGTCTTAAGTATTCAAATTTAAATATCCATACTTTCTTCCTATAGTCAAAAAAACTTCCAACGCTAATCTAATAAATGCTTGTGTTTTCTCTTTGTTCTCTTCTCCTCTATTTCTAATCTCTTTTTGTCCCTTGGTTATTTTTCTCACCCGATTCGTTACTCCAAAATTCTCCCATTATTTATTTTATTCTTAATATTGCTCGAATAATTTTGTATGTGAATCACATCGACTGCGAATTAGAGCATCGCGCGAGGATATGGCTGCAGCCGCAACATCTCCGACACAAATGCCACCCGACGGTAGCCAAATGCAAATGGGCACCGACCAACATATCACACTAATGGAAGATCCAGATGTCTGGCGTCCTACATAAATAATTAACTCAAACTAATTTTAGAAATGCTCCTTGATGAACGCTGCTAATCATAGCGATTCAGTTTTCAAAAGTTTTTAGTTTAGTTTGCCAATATTTACGGAGTTTCCGTTGAAACATACAACGTATGAGAAGTTTACAAAAGTTTAAATAGTCACTTGCCCCACCAGATGAATGAATTAAAGCACCTAAAATAAAGGGTAGAGTAGAGTAGTGAAAAATAACACAAATGTACAACAACGTAAACTGCAAATTTGCGACTTAAAAAAAGTTTTTGAAAATGATACAAACTGCATAAGCTGCATAAATGTATGTACATTGAAAGTTAATACAAAGCCAATATTACCTTAAATACGGTACTCAACTGAGAGAGCAGCATTCCATTTACGATAATTGTTATATGAAGCATATTTACAAAGTTAAGGAAGATCGTTTTAAACCATATTGTTGTTATTGCTACTTTTGCGCCTACTGAACGATCTCGTAATAATGCAATAAATGAGTATATAAGCGAACATATTTTAAATAAATAATGCAATGTGGACGAAAATTCAAAATTTCAAAAACATTAAATAAAATACTGTAGAGCTAAAAATTTGCATCGTTACTTAGATAAACGTTTTAAAAATTTGGTGTATTGTTCATAAAAACATTGTCATATTGTAAATTGATATCTTAAAACTTAACTAGTTCTTTAACAAAGACCAAAGATTCCTACATATGTACGTAAAAAAAGTAAATGATTATTATGACTTCCCTGCAAATAAGCAGCTAAATTGAATTCCAAAAATGGATACCATTTTTTCTGACTCCTTATCTTTTAATAACAATCAGCTTCAGATTCTTAAAATTTAGCAATGCATGTATTTTGCTGGGAATGCAAAATACAATATTTGACAAATTTTCAATTTTACAGGAGAAGCAAACAACTTTTCAAATATACATACATAGAAATAAGGGAAATTTGTCAAAAGTAGTGTTCTTCGAAAAAACATGCAAAATCAACGGGATTTATTCCAAAACAAAAAATGTATGTATTTTTTATTATACTAGTATTATAGATTTTCAGACGAGCAACATGATAACACTGTTCAAAATTCGAAAAAAAAATTTAACACCTTAATTTAAAAAATGCATTATTTATTGCATTTCTTTCTATTTGCATGCAGCTGCGCATCCTTCACTCAATTTTATATCCTTCGAACATTAAGTGCAATTCAAGACCTTTAATTTGAGCCAAGGTAGAAGCCTCTACGCCCCCTGAGAGCCAAGATATAACAATTTTAAACCAAACTTCGAAACTGCTGTACTAGTTTTTACTCCAAAATTAAAAAAAATAAATAAAAATTGCGTAAAATGTCGAATGAAATTTCGAAGTTTAACTTCAGAATCGTAATAATTTAGCTCGCAAAGGGCCTAGAGACTTCTACCTTGGCTTAAATTAAAGGTCTTGAATAACACAAAAACTGACTTGTTGTTCGAGGGATATAAAATTGTGTAAAGGACGAACAGCTGCCTGCAAATCATAAAAAATGCAATATATAATTCATTTTTTAAATTGAGGGGTGAAATTTTTTTGTCGTTTTTTAAACAGTGGAATCGTATTAATCGTCTCAAAATCTATAATATTAGTACAATAAAAAAATTTTTTTTTAATATATCCGTTGGATTTTGCATGTTTTTTTCTAATAACACTGTTTTTAACAAATTTTTTTTAAGGTCAAGGAGTGATTGTGGCACAATGGCAATATTTTTCCTCGAAAGGAAATTACATTAGCTTTTAAAGCCATTTCGTTTCATATCAAAATATTGCTTCTGTCGAAGTGTTAAGAAGCACACTCTGTGCCATCGAGTTAGCTCGAATATCTTATTTTTCAGTCGAGAAATGTAATTTTGAAATTTTAAAATTACTATGGTGTATTTTGCTCAAAAACATACTACTCAAAACATAAGACTTATAAAAATATAATNAAACATGCAAAATCAACGGGATTTATTCCAAAACAAAAAATGTATGTATTTTTTATTATACTAGTATTATAGATTTTCAGACGAGCAACATGATAACACTGTTCAAAATTCGAAAAAAAAATTTAACACCTTAATTTAAAAAATGCATTATTTATTGCATTTCTTTCTATTTGCATGCAGCTGCGCATCCTTCACTCAATTTTATATCCTTCGAACATTAAGTGCAATTCAAGACCTTTAATTTGAGCCAAGGTAGAAGCCTCTACGCCCCCTGAGAGCCAAGATATAACAATTTTAAACCAAACTTCGAAACTGCTGTACTAGTTTTTACTCCAAAATTAAAAAAAATAAATAAAAATTGCGTAAAATGTCGAATGAAATTTCGAAGTTTAACTTCAGAATCGTAATAATTTAGCTCGCAAAGGGCCTAGAGACTTCTACCTTGGCTTAAATTAAAGGTCTTGAATAACACAAAAACTGACTTGTTGTTCGAGGGATATAAAATTGTGTAAAGGACGAACAGCTGCCTGCAAATCATAAAAAATGCAATATATAATTCATTTTTTAAATTGAGGGGTGAAATTTTTTTGTCGTTTTTTAAACAGTGGAATCGTATTAATCGTCTCAAAATCTATAATATTAGTACAATAAAAAAATTTTTTTTTAATATATCCGTTGGATTTTGCATGTTTTTTTCTAATAACACTGTTTTTAACAAATTTTTTTTAAGGTCAAGGAGTGATTGTGGCACAATGGCAATATTTTTCCTCGAAAGGAAATTACATTAGCTTTTAAAGCCATTTCGTTTCATATCAAAATATTGCTTCTGTCGAAGTGTTAAGAAGCACACTCTGTGCCATCGAGTTAGCTCGAATATCTTATTTTTCAGTCGAGAAATGTAATTTTGAAATTTTAAAATTACTATGGTGTATTTTGCTCAAAAACATACTACTCAAAACATAAGACTTATAAAAATATAATTCATTTATAAACAATATATAATATAATAAAATAAAATGTCTATTATACTTGGGCGTAGAAAATTTTTGCTCCCAATTTCTATTTGAGTTAACATGGACTGTGTACATCTCCTCCACACAATATTTCAATAAAATTACACATACTACGTACAAAAGCTGATTAAAGAGAAATGTTTCTTAATATAATTTTTAACCATTTATGTCTTTCGTGTATTGCCGAAATGCAGAACCGTTCCTACTTTTCCTATGTACATATGTAGAAGAGTGGTATAAGTGAATTACAATTGTATAACCAAAGAAAATTAAAAAATTAAAGTATAGTATAATTTCTGGAGTTTAATGTGTATCTTATAAGAGAATATATTTAGTTCCGAATTTAATTAATATTTGTTGGAAGGAATTGTTGAACTTTCAATTGAATGAAAGATTTAATTAAATAAATATATGTATGTACATATTTTAACAGTTAAAAGTGTAGATTTCAAATGTCATAAGATTCAGTATGGTGATATATATGAGTACATTTATACATTTCGTTTTTTAACTGAAATAAATAAGCATTACGATTTGCGCTAGAGCTGAAATAACGCCAGGCAGCTCCCTTAAATAGCTCTTCGCAGACGTATGTCAGTTGACGGATATTGTTGTTGTACATGGAACGATGCTGTACATGCAGAAAAGCGAATATACTGCCAAATTTATGTACTACAGAATACGTAAATACAAAAACTTTTTAAATCATCGTTTGAAGCTCTCTAAAAAAACAACACGCCGGTCGCCAATTTAACAAACTCACAGGCAAATATTATATTTTTTCCCTAGAAAATGATAAATATACTTACTTAATTTCTCACAATAAAATTTTGGTGACAGGTAACAAGATCAACGGAAATGAGGTCAACTGACGCTATTTCGCATACTGGCATACATTATTACCTTTCCAAAAGCGAAATAAAGTCAACAAAAAGTTGGAAATAAAGTAAATGATGATATTTCCTCATTCAAATGGAAATAGCGTCAACAATGCTTAACGCATGTCGATTCAAAGAAAAAAAATTGTGTTCTTTCATCGCACGTGAGATACGAATTGATTTTATTAAAAAATTTTAAATTACGAATATAATAAAAACACGATGAGAAAAAACCAAGAGCTGGAATACGAGAAATATTTGGAGAAAGAATGTAGAAATGATCCAGAACTTGCAAATTTAATGTTTGAAAGAGCAATAATGTCAATGGATTTTATTTCGCTTTTGAAAAGGTAATAATGTCAATTGACTTTATTTCGCACCAGTAAGCGAAATAGTGTCAGTTGACCTTATTTCCGTTGATCTTGTTATTTGTCACCAAAATTTTATTGCTGCTAAAGCACCTTAGTGTTCTATATAGTTAATTTAATACTTTTAATTTGTCTATCTTATTTAGTTGGCTTTGTTAGTACATATTGTGAGTTAGACTTTTAGTAAATTTATTGCAGTGTATGTATGTACATATATGTATGTAGATTGTTGATTTTATAAAATACTTAGTCATCTATTTCACAGTCAAACAGCAGACTCACGCAATCCAACTATTGTATCAATTTTTATTTGAGCTATAATTTCGTTGAGGATATACCCATTTCATATTAGGATTATTCACATTTTGCTAAAATTTCCAGAAATAAGCTGAAAAATAAAAATAATAAACTTCAATCAGGCAAGTTAGAGATTAAGGGAAATTAATGTTTTGTTTTTTAATAAAAGTTTAATATAGGTTTTTACACCAGTTATTCTGATTGTTACCGAAAATTTAATTTTGTAACTGAGACATATACAAATTTTATGAAGAAAAATTGAATCGAGAGCCTAAGTTAGCGGTTACCAAATTTTTGTCACAATCGCAGAATAAACAATAACAATGTATTGTGAAAAAAGTCTGAAAAAATTCTAATAAAAGATAAAAAAAAAAACCATTTGCGTAAAGTTATAGGACACTCGATTTTCAACTTGTCAAATAACGTTAAACTACAGGCATCTAACTTGGTTCACCGGGGAGTTACCAATAAAAGTTCGAGCTTTATTACCTACAAGCATCCAACCTGCTTGAACCCTCACTTCATTTTCATGCAAATGAAGTGTGAAGTGTGATATAATTTGACTTTTAGGAAGTTTCATTTTGTGAATTTGGCGCAAGGTCCATTTACAGAGTGCCCTGTAATAAAACAATTGGAATATTTTGTAAAAAAAAAAAATGATAAAAAGTTATACGCTGGGTTTATTAAAGCAATATATTATGTATACATACGGTGACCATAAATATGGATTCAAAATGAAGGACAATTTTTCAAAAATATGCCTACATATATTTACGTAGTATAAAAATATCAAAAGAGTATTTATGATTCTAAATTCTTAATACATTTTAAACTTTAAAAACGAATCACGTTTTCTTCATCGATATTAATCTTTTTTTACATGAATATTTATAAAAGTATAGTAAAACATATTATAATTACAATAGCTTACACGAAAAATGAAAATCTTTAAAAGATTATTTTACAGACAAATTTTGAGTCGTTCAAAACGAAAACAATACCATTTTTTTAGTTTTTTGTGCTTTTCGCAGTTATTTGTCAAAAATCGACGTCATGAATCGACGTAAACGACGAGTTACAAAGGTATTTATGTGCCCTTTACAAAGATATATAATTTGTGCAGATTGCACTTCATTGCATTTACATTTATAATCCGATTTGCATTATCTCTGGCTCAAAATTTACTGTAATGATATATCTTCTTTATCGAATTTTTAAACGAATGAAAAAAATAATCAAATAAAACTGCGCATTTTGATTGAACATCTCACTTTTTTCGACTTTGACGACAAAATGCAAATGGTCGCCTGTAGCACTAATAATTTTCATTGAAGTCGCCACAAGTTATATATTTTGGTAAGAGGCACATCAATACCCTTCGAGATGTAAGTCGCTTACGTTGATTGGGAGATTTTTTCATGAGATATTGAAGAAAAGCTACGAAAAGTACCAAGAAACACTTTTTTGAAAAAATCCATCCATTGTCCGATAATTTTAAAATTACGGATAAAATGCGGGACAAATGCAGGACACTTGGAAAAAAGCAGTACATTTTCAGGTTTTTCAGGTTTGGAAAATTACGCAGGACCGACCTTTGAAAAACAGTACGGTCCTGCAAAAAACAGAACGGATGGTCACCGTATGTATACATCTAAATACTTACTTATTACTTATTAATAAAATTATAATAATTTAAATTGCAAACTCAATTTCGCGCTTTCCTTTTGCGAATTTTTCTATTATCCGTTCACTGTCAATTTCAATATCTAAGTGTACGTGTAAAAGTGCTAGACCTATCAGTCTTTCTTTATACTCTTCTTCCAAATTGATAGCTTCTTTTTCTTAGAAAAATTCGTTTCGTTTTCCTCTATCTATTAAGTATATTCCCCAATTTTAGATGAGAGTAAAAACTTCAAATCAAAAAAGTTTAATAACTCTTTCGGCAATCTTTTCCGGAGATGGAGCAAAATATTATGCAATAGCGGTACAAATATTACCTTTCGATAATAATCTTCAGCGTGGAGGGACAATGTCAAAATCCAATTCCTTAGCGATATCGGTAACTAACGTGGCAATGCATTTTTCTGTTACCCCCTGATATGAAATGAGATACATATACATCGAGGTAATACTCATTAAGTCGGGACTTATTAATTTATCGTAACTGTTGAATACAGATGTTTTTCGTAAAATACGTTCTTATAGTAAAAATGAATAAGAACGGTAATGAACGGTTATGGAAATATTTTTAATTTTTAGTTTTGGATTGTTCACACTTGACTGGTTATCTGGTTAAAAATTATTATTCTGTAGCGTATGTTATTGGTGGAAACTGAATAAAAAATATAACCACATAACCAGATAACCTGATAAACAGGAAAGTGTGAACAACCCATATATTTTTCAAGTCATTCATATTTTTATGTGCATACATATAAAAAACCGAAAGATTCAAACTTGGATTTATATGGCTTTTATTAAAGAATTTACTATATTTTTTTAAACAGGTGATTAAAATTAAAAGATATTAAGACAAATGGTCATATCTTGTCAATATGTGAGTGTCGTAAAGTTATGAAGGGACTATATATTCGTAGTGTCTACACCTGTCACCGAGAATAATTGACGTCTAAGATTTAAAAACTTACAAACTTCTTTATTTTCCTTCTTTCGCTCTCGTAATTATTATTTTCACTTTTGATTCGATCAATGCGGAATGTTATCTTTAAATATTTATATTTCAAGTAGTCAAGTAGTTTTGATTATATTCCCATACCTGAAGTTGCATTACCTTTAAGCCCATCTGTGATTTAACTGTCATTTCTGATTGATTATAATATACACCAGGAATTAAATTTTGTGAAAATTGTAGACAGAGGGTATCGAATAAGCATTCGACTTATTCTATGCACTCTTGTTAATCGACTAATCGGATAATCGGTTAGCAAAAGTTTTCAAAATGTAGTCGATTTCACTTAATCGACTAAACGTTTTCTTTCGACTTTTTCAACTAGCCGCTCACAAACAACTATTCAACTAACCATTCGTTCTCGATTTTTAGAGCGGTTATTTTCTTTCAATAAGCAGTGGTTTATTTTATATATATTTTGAGTAGCTATAGGAAACCCAACCGCGCTATAACAATACTTTTATTGTAAACAACTGTCACTATTTGAATTATTTCGATTTCTTGATAATGAGCGTTTAGTCGAATCGATTAATTCTTATTCGACTACGTACTATCAAAAAAGTTGCTAATCGGATTGTCGATTTTTAACAAGAGCTCTACTATGCATATGCAGTCACTCTCAGAAATATTCGTAAATTAGTTTTTTCACAACATTCAAAATGTTTTCCATCATACATCTTTTCTATAACAAAAACCATATAAATCATTCTTGCAATTTTTGTACAAAATTCGTAAAAATGAATAAAACTTTAAAAAATTTCAATTGAAATTTAAAATTTTTTATTCAGAATTTTAAGAACTAAATTTCGGTACGCAGCTCTATAGCCCGTTCAATTTTAGTATAATAAAGTGCAAGTTTCAAGTAGCTAAAAAATTTGTTGTCGGAGGTGTTGTGTATTTGTTTCCATATTTTTATATGGAAGAAAATGCGCAACACCCTCGACAAACTACATACCGAAAATTTTTCTAAACATTCTGAATAAAAAGTTTGAAATTTGGATGAAACTTTAATTAAGTTTGATTCATTTTTATGAATTTTGTACAAAGTTTGCAATAATGATTTATATGGTTTTTGTTATAGAATAGGCTACATTTTAAAAGAAAGTTAACGAAAAAGATTTATGATGGAAAACATTTTGAATATTGTGAAAAAACTAATTTACGAATACTTTTGTCAGTGACTATGTATCATGAAATCGTGTTAAATGTTGTTTTTTTTCAGATTTCTTCTCTCTATATAACTGAATGCATGTTTAATTTAAAATACGATTTATAGTTTTTCATATAAATATGTATGTATGTATGTATAATTACGCTGTTTAACTAACTTTTTTCTCGCTACTAGGGCTTCCGCGGAAGAAATGCGCCAAGCTGCTGTTCAATCAGGCTTAGCGGGCACACCAGGCGCCACAACGAATGATCGCGCCAGTATTGTGAACAATGCTCAACCATTTTCCTTCACCGGCGCGGTAGGCACAGACAGTAATGTGTGATACTGTAAACTTGACTGTAAAATTCAAACAAACCTTTGGGAGCGTTGCACAGAGAAACATTTGGCAAATGCAAAAAATATAACTAGGTTTGTTGTCGCGATCAGTTCCCGTTATCAGCGTACATTGTTTACGTATACTATGTATGCATTGCCAGAGTGCCTCCAAATTTGTTAAAAAAAAAACTAAGAGTAAAGAATTGAAATGGGAAATTTTACATGCAGTGTAATTCACTGTGGCATCAGAGTGAATGATGATTTCGAGTGAATTGTCTCAGCCAACACCGATTATTAGCGCCTTCATTGGTTTCTAAGGATTATGTTATTAACGGTTGGCTTGCTAAATACTACTATCATATGCATATAATATGATTTATTTCAAATTAAAGTAACGAGGATGGTGAAATATGGTTTGCATCTACTTTTTAAATATAAATTCTTAATATTCATTTGTTTATTATTTTTCTTTTTGTCTAGATATCTTAAATTTAAGCTATTTATTGCATCAGACATACGCTAACACAAGAAAATGTACTTCGTCTGCTTATTTGTACTGATATGTTTGCTAGTTCTTTTGTACTCGTAATGAAAATACTTATTTGTGGCATTCCATTGTGCAGTGAAGCGCTTGTAAAATTAAAAGATTGATAGAAAGACGTTATCGAATTTCGTGCTGTATTTCGAAATGCACAAACATTTTCCGTTGTTTTATTAAATTCGTTATGATTAAAAAAATACCTTAATCAGCAATAGTAAATATTTAACCTAAGATTCCTTATTTAAAAGCCAAACTACACACATATTAATCATCTCAATTGTATTATTCATGATTTATGTTATTCTAAAATTTAAATCAACATTATACGTTTCAAGCCATTCGTTTACTAAAAAGATTTGCGAATAAGCAAATGTTGAGCAAATTAAGTAAATATCAGCTATGCAAAAAATATGATTTCAGAGTCAGCGCATCTATGAATTGTATTATCTTAAAATTATGGTGATTTCGTTTCTACCCAAAAAATTCGCCTTTTAATTTCCCCTTTATCTTTTCGTGTTCGGGTCTAAAATAAAGGCAAACGTTTCTTAAAATGTCACACTCTTGTAAGGCAAAAAAGGCACATTCCCTGCTCTTTGAAGCTTTGTCAAGGGTGATGGTTGCCTTGAAAATCAGATAGTTGCTTAAAACGACAATATTATGAATTGCGTGAGCTAAAAACGGACAAGGAGGCAAAAACATGCCCTTTTGCAGGGTTGAGTGTAACATCTAACACATTTTGCACCGGCGAAAGGCAACATTTTTTGGAAGAAACGAAATCATCATTAGTCATACATAGTTTAATAAATGTAAAATTTTATGAAAGAAAATATAAAAACTGAAAAAAATTATAACTTCAGATATCCTTATATCATAATCATCTATAAGTATAAATAAATATGAATAGATACATATTAAAGCTAAATACTATCTTATTAAACCATTAAAAACAAAAGGAAAATTTAATGATAATAAAAATACAACTATGAAAACTTTTATTTTACAGACTTTTACGTTTTTTACAAATCCCAACTTACCAAAAGTTTGCAGGTACTCGGCAGAAACCAATGGAAAATTTTTAGTAAACTATACATTTCACTACAACTAACCGCCCAATTCTGTGTTGATAAATTAGAGGTCTTCACATTTAGATTGGTATCGTGGTGGCATACTTTATAATTTTCTGGTAGTGGGTAAACTGCAATCAGCTATTCGATATTTAATCAGTTTTAAATCCGCCCGCCGCCGAAATTCATAACAACAGCGTTTTCGACCAAATGATAAATAATATTTGATTTCTAACTTTTTTGCATTATTTGAAATTTTTACCTTCAATAAGAATTTCCTTTTATTGGGAAAAAGCTACATAATTTACCAGCCTATTAAATGTATGCTGAAAAGGACGTTCACAGACTGTGAATCACAGTTGATTAAATTACCGAGTAACAACCAGCAGTTTACCAAAACTACCGAAATGAGTGTGAAGGCCCCTATTATTCAAATAAAAGCTCCCTTCGCAATCTGTGCCGATATATATAAAATAAACATGATGCAATAATAAAAGCTGATGTACTTGTAATGTAGATTGTAACATATCGCGTTTTGTGCCGCCGAAGCTCAATGTTGTGTTTTAGAAGTACAAAGCAAACTGGATTAAAAGAAGGTCGGTTTGAGAATAAGTTAATAGTAAAAAAAATCTGTGAGTTTCCAAGTGTAAATTGAAAATTGTGTACACTCTTCATTTTGCGATTCAGGAAGTGTGAGAACGAGTTTTAACTGTCAGAGTTGTGTACACTTTTCTTCCGAAAAACTCACAGCATTTTCTTTGGTGAGTTTTTGGTTGTGGAAAAGTAAAAAAGAATCGGCTAGTAATAGGTCAAAAGTGGCCGATGCCGATGTTGATTAATCGGTCGGAGTACTTGCAGATGAGTTTTTCGCCACCGGCCTTACAGACGTAATTTCCACACGTTCGGAAAACAAGAGGTCGTGATGCTATGGTTCACAATGTGCGTAAGCGTGCAAAAAACGTAAGGTAGGGCAACCTTAATGAACTTTTTTATGAGACCGCCCTCTCCTGTCATTTCTGACTTGATATCTCGCATCTAATTTATACATATTAACTTTGCACATTTTTAGTTTAATCAAAGAACAATTGTATCTTTTGTTGCTAATTAAGCAGTGTAAACTACTTCAAATTACTAATTTCATATCACGAATTTGGGTCCAATAATAACAAGATTTGATTTTTTTTTTCAAAGTAATTAGTTCAAATTTCAAATTTTTACAGTATGTACATTTATTTCTTCAGAAAGTGGAATGTTGCCACAGTTAAGGGATTTAATTTGGATATTCCCTTGTTATGACCAATTATATTCAGCCTCATTGCGTAAGTCGTAAACTAGACTAAATTGTACGACTCGACGATATTGGCATGGCCTAATGTCGTGCAGAAATAAGTAAACGACGAAAGTCCTCGAAAATTTAGGACTCGAAATTTTAGGCAATGCCATGCAATTTTCTATACGACTCGACTCTCGAAAAACGACTTGCACTCGGCACGACATTCATTCAAAATATAACAAATTGTGACATAAAAAGGGTTCTTATGTTATAGCTGATTTTAAATTTCAGGGAGGGAGGTGCCACGGCCCCAAGTCCAAACTCATCTCTATTTCCTTATAATGAGCAGATATGGCAGTACTGAGATTATCTGTTAATATGTAAGATTAGCAATTATCTACACCCAGTAAAATTTGCAATTTACGTCCTTCTGTCTAAAGCAGTGATTCCCAAGGTGGTCCAGGTGGACCCCAGGGGTCCACGGGAGACTCGACGGGGTCTACGTTGGAGTGAAAAAATATGGGGGTACAAGAGTTGTAAGTGAGGGTCCACGAAAACTATGGGTCGGTTACGGAATGCAACCGAACTTCAGGTGGGTGGCCAGTGGCTGAAATAGTATTACAGATGGCAGCTGGCAACTGAAAGCTGGCAACCGTGTTGCTATATTGGCAACTGCATTTTTGTGGTTGCCGCCGAAAATTTTTATTGAGATAATTTATTTCTTTTTTCAACTGTTTCTTCAGCTTATTTGCACTCAAGTCTTAGTTGCCGGTTCTTCAAAATTTGAATACCTTTAACTTTATAGAACTTAACTATAGTTGCTATTCATAATATACATTTTCATATCAGTGGCGTTGCCCATCGGCAACCCAACTGCGGTTGACCTGTCACCCATAATCGCCCCATTATGTATAGTACTCTTAACGCACTTCTGCACTTTGTGTCTTCATACGTGTGGACGCCTTAAAAGCCACCTGCAGGCTAAAAAGAAACGGATGTTGGTATAACTCTCTGTGGGGCGAGGCGGAAATTGCTGGCGGAAGAGCTTTGAGCACTTGGCCCCTATTATGAGTTGCATTCGATCTTCGACTATGGTCGAAAGTGCTGACCGAACGAGTTTTCATTTGGTATTATGGCGCTCATTCGATGAAGAATAGCGCTATTGTGAATATCGTTCGTTGAGGTTGTTCACAATAGTATATTTTTCACCGCTTAGAAGCTTTGTTTACAAATCGAGCAAACTAAATAGTCATATGTAAATTTTTGCAAATTAAAATGAAATAAAAAAGAAAGCGAGTTTTAAAAACGTGGTAAAAAAATTTAATTAGTACATCGGAGTTCTGGTTGAACGATTCGTCAGAGGATGAGAGCTCAGAAAACTGGCCAGGAGCAGAAAACGTTTAAGAGATTTTAAGTGCAGTATTTCGAATATATTTTGACATACAATATATTTAAGAAATTTTATGATCCAAATCTATTTAAAATATATTAAAACTTTAAACAGCTCCATGATTTTATTTTCAAAGATCGTGCCAACAGGGTATTGGGATTTTCTTTCATAAGTAAAACCGGCCTTTCGAGCTTGTGTTTAGTATTCACGACGTTAGAACTGCATGAAATTAAAAAGAAAATGTTTAAAATTAGTGTCTAGCCGCCAAAAAGTAAGGAAACAAAAGCAAAATCATAAATTTTTCACAACTTTCTAACACTTGTACACCAACGAAAGCCATTTTCTTTTCGACAGAAAATTCGATACTCAAAGAAAATTTCCACACGCTTGCATAGCTGATAACACGAATTTTACTTTCGATCTTCGATAGCCAGAGAAGATCGAAAATCGAATGCAATTCATAACAAGGTCCTTTGTGTCTATTCAGTGCCACATGATAGCACGCCACCGTTACCTTTGTTGAAGAGATTCTATAATGTTGAGTTCCCTGAGGCTGACTGCTGGTTTAATTCCAGCACTGAACCAGGACTCACACATTACTGATGGCTCCAAAACTGACTCTGGATCAGAATCTGGGGTCTTTTTCGAAGTTAATGGTAATAAGCTTCACTTTTCTCTTGGCGAATATGCTTCGGTCTTCCAGGCTGAGGTATGGATATGCAATCGTCAAAGCCATAGACTACATGATGGAAAGTATGTGGAGGGGGGCAAGGATTTTACGTGTCTGCAGGGATAGCCAAGCTGCACTTAAGGCATTGGCCAGCCCTCTAACTAGGTACTTTCAGACTGGATCGGAAATGCAAGAATCTATTAAATTATGTTGGTAAACATAAGAAGCTTGCTTTACTCTCGGTGCCAGGTCACTCGGGAGCAACTGGTAATGAGACATCTGACCATTTGGCCACAGTAGGCTTAGACCAGGCATTCCTCGATACGCAACTAGCTATAGCACTCCCTACCTCGGCCATCGAAGCCACCATCAGAAACTGGGTGAATACTTCGCTCACAAATGACTGGGAAGCATCGAGTGGACGCAGGTGGGCAAAACTGATATTGCCTTCAATCTCAGAAGGTCTATTTAGTTCTTTGCTCTCATTGATAGACGGGACTGCATACACCTTGTTGGACTGCTGACTGTTCACTTGAGGCACAAACATCTGACTGCGATAGGCGTAAATGACAACTCCATTTGCCCATCCTGCCTTGGAGAGGATGAGACGGTGGAACACTTTTTGTTCTTCTTGGTTGTTTGTCATCGATTTTTCTAGATTCGGTCTTTTCTCTATTGTCAGTTTCTGAATTTAAAGTTTGGCGAAAAGAAGCTCTTATGGTTTGTTGTTTAAAGCTTTGCGTTTT